GAAATAATAATGTCAGTTTGAGAACTAAGGTGCACATGATTCAGGCCATGGTCTTTCTAGTTACTTGCTATGCATCTGACATTTTGTATCATGTGCAAAATGTGTTGAAATAATACAAAATCAGTATCCATTGGAATAAAAGCAAAATTTATTTTAAGATACTTTTCAAAGACTTTACATACAGAATCTTTGTCAGACCTGAAGATATTCCAATCCAAGACTGTGCAGTACAACTTTGGGACACTTGTAAGAGAACTCTATAAGGAATGGCACTGCTAATCTAAAGATGGTGCCTCCCTAATGGTTTGAATCCATCAATAGCTCTTTGAGAAATAGATGGGCCACAGTATCTGAAAATCCACTGAAGGATCACTGTGAGTCAGATTCTGACTCCAAGGCAATGAGTTGAATTATAGGAGAGCAAAGACATGTTTATTTGCATATGACAAAAGCTTTGTGACACACATCAAACATAGTGCAAGATGTGGTCATGTTTATTAAGATTTAACAGTATTATACTGCAATCAATAATGTCCAATGAATAGCCTCTAGTATATAACATACACCAGTCTTCTTTTGGGGAGCTCTGGTGACAAGAAGCTGAGCTGAATCCTGAAGGCTCTCTTTTCAAATTCACCAGCTGTTCCAAAAAAGAAGGATGAGCAATCTCGTCCTATGCAAGTAACTGTCTCTGAAAATCCACTGGAGGGTCAGCCATGGGTTCGTCCCAACTCAACAGCACACAAAAACAACCACCATCTTCTGTTAGCAATCATATGGATACTTCGTTGATACAAAGAAATATATTTTAAATAGAAATAAAGGTGCTTTTAAAATTTTATCCTTTAACCACAGAATGCATTTTTCTTTATACACAATTTTAATAATAAATAACATCTGACAATCACGAAGTTATACTTTAGGAAAATGCTGACTTAAATTTAATTCTTACTACCTCTACTACTATTCAGAAATATCATATTTTAATGTTTGTTGTTGTTGTTATGTGTGGTCTAGTCGCTTGCGACTCATAACAACCCTATGTACAACAGCTCTAAACTCTGCTCTCTCCTGTGCCAATCTCATTGTCTCTGACACAGTCATCCCGATTGCCCCAGTCACTGAATCAATCCACCTCATAGAGGGCCTTCCTCTCCAGCCCCGTCCCTCCACCCTCCCAAGCATGATGTCCCTCTCCAAGGACTGGTCCCTCCTTACATGACCAAAGTATGTCAGACGAAGTCTCAGAATCCTTGCCTCCAAGGAGCAGCCCGGTTTAACCCTCTCCAAGTTGAATATCTTTGTTTTCTTAGCAGTCCATGGTACCCTTAACACTCTTTTCCAACACCAAAGCTCAAAAGCATCAATTCTCCTCCTATCCTCTGATATTATAATGCATAACTCACTAGTAAAGATATCATTTATAAACAATACTTTCAATTCAACTAATTGACATTAAGTTCAAACTGCCTCATAGCTGACCCTTCACTGAGTATTCAGAGGCTGTAAATCACACCAAAGTTTCCTATAAACATACTGTTGTTATTGTTGAGATGTGTGTGTCTTTGAGTTGAAATCAACTTATAACTGGCCCTCCAGTGGGTTTTCAGAGTCAGTTAATTGCACAGGAGGAGATTACCTGCATTCTCCCATGGAGCAGCTGGTGGATTCATGCCTCTGGGATTGCAGCACAGTTTCTTATCACAAGCTCCCTAACATAATTGTACTGTAAAATATGCACAAAATAATAGTTTAAGAATAAAAATTACCTAGAATAACATAAGATAACCAGGCTGTTAAACCATTTAATATTTTACAAATTTGCCTCCATTTTGAAAGTATTGCATCGGTTCCTAACTCTCAACAAATTCTTCATGATAATCATCACTTCAATGTGTATTCTATGAGGTTTATAATAATTGAGAAGCCTTCTAGCTTTTCTTGCACTAGAAAACAAACAAAAACAAAGCTCATGATGATCAGACATTAGGTTTCTCAGAGTTTAATCTTAATTGGAACAGACTGCCTCATCTTTCTTCCAAAGAGGGTCTTGGAGATTGCAAATTCTAGTATTTTTGCCAGTTGCTTCATGTAACACATGCCATCACCAGGGATATGTTCTTTCACCAAAACAAAGCTAAATATGCGTGTATGTATCTATTCTAATTTAATCAGAAAAATATATAAAGTCTTAAAGCACAGTGAGGAATTGGTCTTAATCTCATCTGCAACCCAAGACTGCTTGTATATCTATTATGAGATAGATCTCATTCTATATTCAGAAGAAAAACAAGCAACTCCAAACATTCTCATGTGTAAAATGCTAATGGAGATCATATTCAGAGAAGTGTCAGAGAAGGAAAGTAAGACCCTCAATGAGATGAACTAACACAGTGATTGCACTATTAGGCTTAATCACAGCAGGGATTTTGATGATGACACAGGATCAAGCAAAATTTGGTGCTATTTTTTAAATTTTTTTTAAATTTATACTAGTTTATTTACAAAATTCAAATACATTGTTTTTAAGAACAAATTCTTTCCATTTCCCTTACCCCGCCCCCATCAAATTGTTCAACTCCATGATTAATTCCTCCCTCCCCCTGCACATCCTCATCCCTCTGATTCCAACCTCTGCTAGACCTCTTGGATTTTTATAATCAATCTACAATAATGGTCCTATACAATATTTATCTTTGTAAGACTGAGTTAGTTCACTCAACATAATACTCTCCAGTCCCTCGCAAGTTAGGTAATAATTTACAAAATCTTTGCTCCTGACTGCTGCATAGTATTCTATTGTGTGAATGTACCTTAATTTTTCAATTGATTAGTTTGTGGTTGGATATTTTGGCTGTTTCCTTGTTCTTGAGATGGTGAATAATACTGCTATACACATTGGTGTACAAATCTCAGTTTGTGCCTCAGTTCTCATTTTCTCAGGGTATATTCCAAGTAGTAGAATGGCTAGGTCATCTGGAATTTCTATGTTCAATTTTTTGAGGAAGTGCCAAACTGCCTTCCAGAATGGTTGTATCATTTTACAATCCCACCAAAAATGAATAAGGGTTCCTTTATTTCCATATCCTCTCCAACATTAATTACTTGCTTCCCTGCTAAACTATGCTTCTGTTACTAGAGTGAGATGGTACCTCATTGTGCTTTTGATCTGCATCTCTCTTATTGTTAATGATTTTGAGCATTTCTTCATGTGTCTGTTTGCCATTCAAATATCTTCCTCTGTGAAAATTATTTCCACGTCTTTTGTCCACTTTGTAATTGGGTTATCAGTCTTTTTCTTGTGGAGGCCCAGAAGTATTCTGTAAACTTTTGTTCCTGGTCTGTAGGTTTTCTTTATACCCTGTTGCAAAAAGTTTTTGATGCACACATGGATTTAATCTTTAGAAGGTCCAATGCATCAATTAAATCCTCTTTAGATTGCTCATTTTGTTTATATTTGGCAGTCTCTTTATATTTTCGACTAGTGCTTATAATCTTGACCCCAGTTTGTCTCTTATGGACATCATGGTATAGCTGATTGTCCAGGAGGTTTTCAGGGGCAACAAATTACAGAAGAGGAGAATGCTTCTCTTTTCCCCATAAAATAGCTAGTGTATTCATACAGTATGGCTTTGGGCTGGCAGCGCATCTTCTTAACAATGAGCCATTAGAGTTTACTCTGTTATAAGTAGGATCCATGAAAGGGTTGGTAAAATGACACTGAACAATGGCAGCAACCTATTTAACAGGAATAAACAATGCAAAGTTTACAATTATTCATGTAAGTCAAAAGATTTTATTATATACATCACTTGACAAAAAATTCCAGGCTTGGCCTCATGGACTTTAACAAATAAAATCCACTAAATGACAAACAAAAATAATACCTAGTTATTATTGGCAATATCTTTATGCTTATCCAAATAATTTTAGCTTATTTATATATTTATGACTTAAATATTATAGCCAAAACAATTTCGCTTTCCAACCTCTTAAGATTGCAATATTATTTCTTAATTTTCAAAGCAGTAAAGTAGCTTTGATGTCATAATAGATTGCATGTTACAGCCTTTTTAATTCCAGATGCATGACAGCGTTCTTTCTCACCTAGATAACCTTCTGTAGATGAGGCTTTATCTAGTAGTGAGATGAATTTTTGGATGTCTCATACCTAGATCTTTAGTTTAAAGAAAAGGAAAGATATTGGTATAATTATAATTTTATTGATCCTTTCCTGAGAATTTAATTCAAGTTTTAAAATATAAAAGTAGTTTCATAACATGACCAGTATAAAAATAAACATACAGAACCTCTATAGAAGAATGTAAAGAGCTTCGGTGACCTAAAGGTAAGAAACTACGCTGTCATCTCAAAGACACGTGGTTTGAACCCACCAGATGCTCTGTGGGAGAATTATGGGTAATTTGCCCCCATGTAATTACTGTCTCTGAAGACCTGCTGAAGTGTCAGCCATGGATCAGTTATTATTCCACAATACATAACAACCATAAAATTTAGGAATATGTATCCCAAAATTAGTCTGCATGATGGTATATTCAACAAAATTTGCCGAAAGTAGACTTTATGTTTCTAAAATGCTCTATATGCTAATAAGACTACAGAAAGAAAGACATTTTTTACAGGAAGTAATTTTAATCTTTAATGAATATTTAAATTTATTGGAATAGACATCCCATATAATCTATGAACTAAACTGTTTATACTATCATTTATAATTATTTTAAAATGTGTGAAATATTTACTAATTTACATTTTAGAAACTACTGAATTGCAAATAAGGCAGAAAAAGTCAAACGCTTGTATAATATCACAGAGTGCCTTGAATGTACAGTAAAAGATCCCATATGGTTTGCTTCATTAACATTACACGACTTCACAGAGTGATCTCCTGCCAGTGATATGTGGGCCATGGAGTTTTTAGTTATAAAAGCTTCTGATAATTTTATTTTGAACTTTTGAAATATGTTTTTATCCTTAAGGTCTGGGAATTGGAAACATGTTCTACGTTTTTTATGAAGATGGAATCAAAGTGATTCAACCCATTGAATGTGAATTTCAGAGACATATTAAGCCTAGTGAGAAGCTCCTTGGATTTCAGGCAAGTATTGAAATAATTCCTTTTCTGATTTATCTAATAATTTTAATAAGTAAAATTATATTTTGAAAATGCAATTACATAATATGCACACATAGGAGAAGTGTTGATCCTTTAATATTGTTTATTGCTATATTCAGGCTGTGTCTGGAGAGAAAAAGAAAATAATATATTGTGTATTCTTAATTAAATGTTTATAATTAAAATGAAGGCTATTGAAGTGAAATGTCAGGAAGGCAATAACACACAGTAATTCCACTTCCTTCTTAATTTAGACTATCTCCCACTTTGAAAGCAATGCAAGGTCATAGCATGGCTAGACCTCATTTTTACTGAGAAATTAAAAAACATACATAATTTTAATTTTCCCTTATGGCCAGTTTGAGCCTAGACAATTCTGTGGGAGTAAGAGAAGACCATCTCCACTTATAAAGATTCACAACTTTGGAAACCTACATAAAAGGTTACCATGAGTACAAATCAATTCATGGCAGTGGATTTGGTTTGTAAAATGTGATTTATTTACCTGAAATATTTTAATGTATAAAATTTAGTTATCTCATGTAACTAATACATCACTAGTGATAACTGGGCACTCATTGTATGTATTATTGAGTGATATCATTTCTGAGTCAACTCATGGCTGATGCTCCAGTGGGTTTTTAGGGGCAGTATATTGCACAGGAAATCACCCATCTTTCTCCCATGGAACAGCTAGATGGTAGATTGTACTCATATACCTTTGGGATTGCTGTGCATCTTTTCCCCACTAGGTCATCACAGAAGTTATCTAATTTCACTGATAATAAAATCATTTTTATATAATCATTTTCGTATGTAGTGCCACATGAGTATATATAGTTTAATATATGTACTCATTCTCTCATTCACTTACAGTGATTATTGATCAGCTTTTCTAGGTTGTAAGTCTCTATGGGAGATACTCTCTTTCTTCTACAGGGACATAGGTTAATTCAGCCCAGAAGTATAGCACTAAAGCTAATAATGCTTGCCAAATGAAGTTAGACAAACAAAGAAAACCTTATAGAGAGACTCTCTTGAGACCTACTGTTAAGGCTGATGGGGTTATGGAGTATTGCATAAATAGATAATACATGTCATTGTTTAGATTCCTCACATCCAGTTCCTCATAGTAGTCTACCAGTATCCAGAATTGCTATAAAGGAACAGAAATATGTAGTTTGAGGACATTTCTAGAAAGAACAGAAAAAAAGTAAGAAATTATGAGAGAGATGTAAAACAGCCTCGCTTTCTCCTTAGACAATCTATAGGGAAATACAGTTGAGTTCCTATGACCTCTATAAAGTACATTCTTTTTCTTTAATTATTTAAATAAGAAAAGAATTATTTAGCACTAATTTTCTTAATAATTAAACCATTGCTAATTTAAAAATTTATCAATTATTGGCTAAACTACTAAATAAAAGTGCATTTTTGTAGGAATAGTGACTTAACAAATACATATTAAATTTCCTATGCAGTTTTGTTTTCTTTCATATTATTGTGTATACTCAGTATATTTTGAAAAATGTGCTTCTGTAAGAAAGTACATGATATACATGAATGCACATGCAAATACTTGATTTTAAGAGAGCAAATCATTCAACCTTATGCTACATTTTTGCTTAAAATACTCTACCAGTTTTCATTTATATCAATTTAATTTCAGGAGATCACTGAAATATCTGGAGCATATAGCTTGATTTTAGCTGCTGTAGGAGACCCTAGTGACACAATGATTAAGTGTTTGGCTAATGAATAAAATGTTATTTGAACCCGCCAGTTGCTTCCCAGGAGCAATCTGCTCCTGGGAAATCTGCTTTTGTAGAGATCGTAGTCTTGGGAATATTATGTGATCCTAAGTAAAGGAGATGAGTAAAAAGTTTTGAAGAGTACCTCTCGAAGACGAAGCAAAGTATTATAATGGAATGGAATGTGCAAAAATCTAGAGTAGGAGAATTAAAAAGAAATTATCTGGCATTTCTCAAGCCGAAACAGCTGAAAAATAAATTTAAACTTTGAGTTGCAATACTGAACATGTTACGGGGGAAATCTTGAACAATCCAGGAAGCGTCTTAAGAAGGTTGAGGGAATCCACAGAGTCACTCTACGGCAAAGATTGGTGAACACTCACATATTTCAGGAAGTTGTTATGTGCCCTGCTCTATCCTGTGCCAATCTCATTGTCTCCGACACACCTATCCCCATTACGCCAGTCACTGAATCAATCCACCTCATCAAAGGTCTTCCTCTCTTGAGCTGACATCCCAAGCATGACGTTGGTCTACAAAGACTTGATCCCACCTTGCAACAAGTCCAAAGTATATCAAACGAAGCTTCAGAATCCTTGCCTCCAAGGAGCAGCTTAACTTCACCATCTTCAGGACGAACTTGTTTGTTCTCCTAGCAGTCCAGGGTATATTCAATACTCTTCTCCAGTACCACAACGTATGAAAAAAAGGAATATATTGGTGAAGGGAAATTTCAAGCTGCATTGAAAGAATTGACATTAAAGAAAACTCCAGAAATCTATAGCATGTACCAACTTACATCTTCCAAATAACAAATGAAGCCCTAGATATACTCACTAGTCTGCCAGGAAACATAGGAGATAGCTAACAAGCCAATTGATGAGAAAACTCTATATTTGTTCCAATTCCCAAGAAAAGTCATCCAATAAAATGTGAAAATTATTGAAGAGTATCATTAATATCAAAGTGAAGCAAAATATTGTTGAAAAACATCCAAAAATAGAACAGTGCATTAACAGAGAACTCTCAGAAGTTCAAGTGGGGTTTACAATAAACCATGGTACTGATAACAAAGTCTGCTGTTAAGGATCTCTCTAAAGTACTCAAGAGCAGCGGTATGTCTCTGGAGACTGCGGTGCACCTGATACAGGCCATGGTCTTTGCAATCACTTGTTATGCATCAGAGAGTTGGACAAAGACTAGGGAGGATAGAAGGAGAATTGACGTCTTTGAGCTCTTGTGCTGGAGAAGAGCATTGAATGTACCATGGACTGCTAAGAAAACAAACAGATTCATGCTGGAGAGGGTTAAACCAGGCTACTCTTTGGAGGCAAGGATTCTGGGACTTCGTCTGACAGGTCCTTGGAGAGGTACATCATGCTTAGTAAGGTGGAGGGACAGTGCAGAAGGGGAAGACCCTCTATGAGGTGGATTGATTCAGTGACTGGGGTAATCGGGATGGGTGTGTCAGAGGCAATGCGATTGACACAGGATAGAGTAGGGTTTAGGCTATTGTACATAAGGTTGCTATGAGTTGCAAACGGCTTGAGGGCACGTAACAACATAACAACAACAATAACTGAGGCCATTATCATTGATCTCAGATTGATCTTGGATGAAAACAGAGAGGATCAGAAGAATACCTATTTGTGTTTTATTGACTATGCAAGATTACTGATTATGTGGTTCAAAACAAATCATGCTTTAACTTTAGAAGAATAGGAACTCCATTATAATTAATCTATCTTCAGTAGAATCTTGCTTGCATATGAAATCAATGATACTGTTCTATAGTTTCCACACTCTGTTGGGTCACCTTTATTTAGAATGGGAACAAATATAGATCTTTTCCAGTCAGTTGGCCAAGTGGTTGTTCTCCAGATTTCTTGACACAACTTGGTGAGCACATCCAGGGCAGCATCTGTTAGCTGAAATATGTCAATTGCTTTACCATCTATTCCTGGGGCCTTGTCTTTTGCTATTTCCTTCAAAGCAGCCTGAACTTCTTCCTTCATCACTATAGAATCGTGCTTATATGTTGTTTCATTAAATTCTTCTGTGTCTAACAATTCCTTTAGATACAGTGACTCAGTATATTCATTCCACCTTCTTTTGATACCTACTGGAATATTTAATACTCTGCCTAAAGCATCCTTGATTATAGCAACTCGAGGTTTTAATTTGTTCTCCAGTTCCTTGAGCTTAAGAAATGCTTAAGTTTGGCCCTTTTGATTTTCTGACTCCAAATCTTTGCACATTTCATTGTAATATTTTACATTGCCATCCCGTGCTGCCTTTTGAAATCTTCTATTTGCTTTTATTTGCTGAAAGTGAGTAGGACCTTGCTGCATCGACCAGAAGACTGTTCAAAAGAGTACCTACCTAATCAAAGATACATAATCACACAGTAGTAGCATAACAGATTGTTTGTTTTAAAGTTTTCAAAAGATTATGTTTTGTATTATTTTTTTCTTTTAAAGTACTATATAAAAAATGTAGGTCCTGCAAGCTATATTTCATGCATGTAATTGAATTCCACTTAACCTTTAAAAAGAAGCTGTTCTGAAGCTACATTTTACATTCTTTTGATCCTAAGAGGTTCATTTCTTGCAACTATATATATATAATTTAAATGTGCACAAAGTATGAATCTAGAAATATTGGAAGTTATCAGAAATGAAATGCTATTCTTGAAAAATCTATATTCAATACATTGTTGTTGTTGTTGTTGTTGATGTTATGTGCCGTCGAGTCGCTTGTGACGCATAGCGACCCTATGTACAACACCCCTAAACTCTGCTCTGTCCTGTGCCAATTGCACAGTCTCTGACACTCCCATCCCGATTATCCCAGTCACTGAATCAATCC